ATCGGATTGGCTAGTTTTCCAACTGGTTAGCTGCGTGCAGTACGCAGTAAGTTTTACGCAAAATAAATTGAATAAGTGATATATTGTGTACACGACGTGCTTCTGGTGAGTAACGGCGACGGCTGCGTTCAAACTGCAGAAACTACTTATAGCAGTGTGTGTGTATGTGTGTGTGTATTATACGGAACAAAGTATGAACCAGATTAACCATGGCTACCAATTGAATTCGAACCATTAAGAACTTTGGGCCACTGATAAATTACGATGGCAAAAGTCTACAAAAGTGTGTATAGCAGCTGAAATGAAATTGGCCAACTATATAAACGAACACGAAAATGTATTATAATAGGTATACGGGTACTAGGCTGGAATAGTTGTTAGATAAATCAGCTGTTTCTTCAAAGTCAGCAGGACATTATTGTTTCCTATGCCGATTTAAGTATAATATGTATATATGATTAAATATCTCATTGTATACGAAAACTAATATGAGAATTTAAAATTAATAATTATAACATTTTATCGATTTTATTGTGCAGCTAGATAAATACCGTATTGGGGTACAGTGTATAGAATTTGTAAAAAATAAAGCAGTAGCTCAGCGTTAACAATGATTATTATTCGTTTTTGTAAAACGGCTGAAAATAGTATATTGATAATTGTGTAAGGGCTGCAAAGTTCCTTTTATTTTTATAAGCAATGCGACGATAAAGCTTAAATAAAACGTAATTTCTATTACACAAAAATGATTTTGATAAATTCATACAAAACAGAATACTTCTCCGTATGCATATATAATCAAGGATATAAACGGTAGTATTCAGTCTCTGTCAATCGCACGCGCAACATATTATTTAGGAATATAGATGTTTTTATTTATTTCCGACGCACCAATAACGATCTAGAGATAATGTGACACAGATTTTTAAAAGTGATTTGCATTTTTCATTAAGTCTACCCACCAATGGTTTATCCACTTGTATCATTTTGAATACATTTATTCCGTTAAAATCAATCGAAAATATTTTAAATTTTATTTTATAATAAACAATAAATTAATTTTTTTTTTTTTTTTTTTAGAGGAAGGAAAAATGATAAAACGTAGGAAACTCGTTTTCGGCTAAACATAGCGATGATTTCAAATCTGTTTTTAAAATCATCATCGCATCACTAAATCAATACGTTGGAAATCGAAAACGTTTAGATTTCAACGGTAAGTATGACGATCAGAGACGCGGAAAAATCAACACATCAAACCCCTTAAAATCAGCCGGATATTTGATCACAAAAAAAAAATCTTTAAAGAGATACTTTTATTAAAATGTTCCATGTATTTTGATAAACACATATAGAAATACGATTCAAAACATTCTTATGCATATTCATACCTCATTCGTCGGGGATCATTAAATATAATTGGCTTTAGTTTTAAGAAAGAGTTATAATAATTTATTTATTTAGATTATAAGGGAGGAGTCTTCTTATAAAATATTTACAAGTACAAAATAAACCTCAAACTAAATATTTTAATGCCTAAGTATAAAGTTTTTACTCAATACTAATGTAACTATATTATGTTCTAGCGTTCTATAAATACATTAGATACGGTCTATATATGGAAAGCGCAAACAAACATAATTTTAATTTCGTGATTATAAATTATATTTGATCACTTTTTTGGTCTATGGAACATAAAATTAATTAAATTTTTTACTGATAATTGTCGTATATCAATTATGTCATATACATAAAATGTTGTGATATTGATCATTAACCCTGTCGATCGAAACGTATTGAATTAAGTTATTTTTATTTAATATTATTTCATAATAATATGCATAATACCGTTCGTTACTAAAATTATGGAAGAGGTTATAACTTTTTTTACAAAACAAACGAGTGGTAGTTATGGCTTTTTAAGCATATTTATGATATTATGTTACGTATTAAAACAACATTTGTAATTGTTTATTTGTAACGATATGATATACAAACGTAATAGAACAACAATATTATGTTTTACAAACAAGGAAATAGCTTTTATTATTATAACCCTTGTTTGGTTTTAGCAAGATTAAAATAGTTCAAACGTGAAAAAACCGTATTGTATATCTATATCAATATTAAAAAAATAGCTCATATAACATAAAAGAACAATAACTAGCTTCTTGTCTGGGTAAAATTGAAAAATTAATTTAGTTCTAGTCAAAACTACAATGAAAATAATAAATACGTTCAGATATCCAAGAATATACCACTTTTAAAATATAATATGTAGCGTAGTCGCTTTTAAGTAGTACCATAAGGTTTCATCACCAGACAAATTACGGCAATTTTTTACTGAAAAAACTTACGATATCTTAGGATTCGGACCATAAACATAATTCCTAACGGCATGATTAATTCGATAATAATTGTTAATCGTTTTTAATTGAGAAATATATGAAATAACGTTTTTACACCGTTATTATATATTGAACAACTAAAATCATTTCGATTGCTCGAAAGTGACATTCTTCCTGCACGTTTCTCTTTCATTTTATACATACTCGTATTGTATACAGTCCACGATACCACTGCTTTTAAAATTAAATCTATTACCTGTAGAATTATTAATTCACATGCGCGTCCCTTTGAAACGCCGACACAGGTCGCATTTATATTACTCTGCCAACCCACTATGTGTAAGTTGTCCGTTACTATTGCTTTTTAAAAACCATGTTGGTAAACAGAGAACAGTGAAAGAAAAGGATCCACGTGTGAGTGGGTGCTTGCGTGCGTGCGCGAGCATGTGTTAGTTGAGGACGAAGGCGTGTGCGCACGTGTGTGTGTTGCATTTGATACTTGTACATAATTTCAATTATACGTCTAACACATAAAATAGTAAATTTGTGTGCACACATATGGTTTCGCCGGGGCAGAACGCACTCGAGTATTTCAATAAATGCGTTGGATGGTGGTTCAAGGGCCTATTCAGATGTTATTCGCTAATGCATAGTGCGTTGGTTTACTGCGAAGCATTAAAATGTATATTTTAAACTACGTAGTGGCAATTTATTATTCCCGGTTGTTTCGTCTATTTGTTACTACGTGATTTACTCGACTGTTTCAGGCAAGTTATCGTCCCGTAAAAATGAAAACATGACTCGCGATCGACACGAGCCGTTGAAATTATTACATCTAACATTATGTAGTTAATTAGTTAATACACCGTTTGACGATCACACCGATCAAATTACGTCACAGCCACAGTCGTCCGTTTCTTATTAATCTCGTTGCCGTTGGTACTCATTGGTCTTTATACCGTACAGATCCCATTCGAATCGCTTTAACTCTCATTCGTAATCCCTTAATACCGAGGGAATATTGAATCCATTATGATGTATTTATTGTATTCCAATTTTCAAAAGTTTAGTTTGAACACGGGTCAAATGTAATTCCTCTAAGATAACAATTGACTACAACAGCTGAAATTCGGTTTGCAAAATGACGATTTCTCGGAGGTGTATAATATTATAATGTTTGAAAACGTATCATATTTAAACAGTATTATAACAGCTGTATAAATGTCGGTAATTTCGTTTGCGAAACAAAAATATGTTTCATCGCCTACATAATTTGTTATTTCGGGTCGACGAATAATATTAATGTAATATTATTTCTAGGCGTATTAAACATGTCAGTAGATGATGAAAACCGCATCGTCGACAATCTACTTCAGATGTCAATGATAAATGATGATCCACAGAGTTCATCGTTTTTTAGCCTTGCAGTAAGTTTTTTTCTTTTATCTCCTGTTCTATTTTTATATATCTTTATAACAATGTAAAAAGTAATTATTAAAAAGAGCTTGATACCTTTTTAGCACCATCTAACTGTACGATGTTAATCACGGAAAAACTTCCGAACAGCAGACAATAGACACACAAAATTATGTATTTACGTACAATATTCTCCCTCCCCTCTCCATGCGTACTTTCGTTATTTAGTAACCCTAATGTAGTAATATAGTGTACACAAAGTTAATTAAATGTATACGTTTATACGTTCTATGCGAAAAAAAAAAAATTTCAAAGTAACCTTATTGTTATTTCGCGTTGACCTACAATATCCACTCGTGGCATCACGCATTTTATCACCATTCACTCATCCAGATCTTATTGTTACGCATTGTACATAGTATCACCATGTATCGCCTCATTTCGTCAAGTAGCTCGGCACGCGCACTTTTAAGTACTATATTATGCCGAGCGCGCGAAATTCATTGTTGTTCGATGTTAAGGTTATAATTAATAATGTTATTATTACTATTACAGTAGATTCTCGTTATATCGAATCTCAAAGGGAACAGAAAAAAGTTCGAAATATCGAAAACTTCGGGATATCGAGTTTTATTAAAATTTTCTAGATTCTCTAGTTTAATGATATATTTTTATCTCGACACAGAGCAAACCATTTTAGCAAACATTTATCAATATCCAAATAAAGAGTCATTCTCATTTTTTTTATATTTCCACAATTGAACTTCATTATTTTCTCTTTCTGTTTAATAATTGACGATAATGTATTTGGTAGAACATTGAATTCATAGACGATTTAACCTTTTTTACGGTCACCTTTTTTAAACTAACTGTATTCAACGAACTTTGTCCGATATTGAAAGAACACTTAATTTATGCTTATTTTCTATTTTAATACAAACGAACTATGATAGACTACTAACGTGACTACCAACGCGCTAAATCACAATCGCTGTACTGCAAAATGTATGCAACGTACTGCACTAATGTACTGCGCAGTTCCTGTTTTAACCGTGATAAAAATATTATTTATGAACACGAGATAAAGAAAAACGATTAACTTTATATCGAGTTATCGAGAGCAAAACACTATTTAAGTGTAATAGTAGTTTCAAGGGAAATTTAAAGCAGTTCGAGATAACAAAACGTTCGCCATATTAAGAATCTACTGTATCAACATTATCGAATGTATGAACTCACCCATTTATCGTTCAGATACCACGTGACATTGGACGGTGGGCTGGACGGCGGTGACGTGCAGTTGCCTTTCAACGTGTCTCCGATGGTGTAATGCCGTTTTTCCAGCGAAAGCACAGGTTGTCCGACGGGCGGATCTGTAATACAAACACACGTTAAATATAAGTACACGTTGACTTCAGCACAGGTTGTCGGGTCGTACGGGTACGCTAACAGGTTTGAGTATCCTCTAATAGCGTTGCGCGTGACTAGAACATTTATAGAATATGGTTAGTCCTTAGTTATAGGTGAAAAATAAAAGTATTATTAATACGATTTCTCACCCCCTAATTTTGCTTATTATTATAATGATAACATTTGAGATAAATTTGATCATGATTATCAACCATATTCACGGGCCACCAGGGGATTGCAAAATTGCATATGGTTGGTTTGTTGTTTTTTGAATATAATCAATAAACTATTGAGCTTATCGTAAAATGTACTTGAATTAAATCATAGATATTTATATTTTTAATAATATGTTTGTATACTTAATGATCACATAGTAAATTATATGAAATACTTGTAACACTAGCTTTAGGGTAAAGTTATAGATAAACTAATATTATTTCGTTTGTATGTGATCATAATCGCAACTGTTTAATAAATATATTGTAAAAACTGTGAAAATTTAGTTATGTATTATGTTTATTATAATAATATTTCGATAAATATCCATGTTGTGGATTTGAAATCATGCATGCTACTGTGTAAGCAATTTAAATACTTAGTTCGGTAACATTTTTTCCACAAAGATTTTCATGTTTATTTAAATATATTGTTTTTATAAGTATTTACACAGTTTTTTTGCGATACCCGGGTATGGAAATTTTTCAACATTCCGAGAAACGACAAATTTTAATATACTGTATTAGTATATATACATCACAATTTTGTGTGATTTTGATGTGAGCACAAACATTTCTTGTAATACGGCTTATATTCGATTTGCCTCTATATTAAATTTATCTCCTCAACAACGATTTTATCTTATATAATTGTTAACAGTTGCTTTTAAATGTTTATGGACATATGTGATAATATAACATGATGTTGAACTGGAAACCAGTATTTTACAGCTTGAAACGGTGTGCCGGGGCTACCGGCACCCGGATCTTTATATAAAATGTTCACGAAATAAATATCAAGTTATTTATTTAACATTAAATAAAAATAATACAGTTAATATAATAAGATTATTCCGGGGCACGGGGCTGGCTCGAATAAGTGGCCGCGGTCGGCGGTATCGGACCTGAGCAGGTGCGATAGAGAATTGGATACACGGTCGACAGCAGACTTAAGCAAGCGAGCGATCGTCCGCGATCACTTTATCAGCGGACACTTGTGTAAGCACGCCGAAAACGTTTGTGCGGATATCGGCTCTGAAAAAGGCCGTTTTTAATGTTCACGAATCGCGGAGCCCCACGTGTAAATGCCGCTGGCGCCGAATTCGTGGTTGTCTTATTCGTCGTTGTTTTTCACGGCCGTGATTGCCGCAGCCACCGTGCAGTCATCAGGGTCACCGTATTCGAGATCGCCGCGAACGCCGCAATTGCCTTCGTCGTATTCGCCGCAGCCGTCGTCGCCTTTATCTCTGCCACCGTTTTCGTCATGATCTCTGCAATCGTCTACGTCGTCATAGTTGCCATCGGCTGCTTCTGTTCTTCTTATCTTTTAGATTTGGATCGTTGTGAATGGAAGAATGGAGTGTCGATGCTCCGAAAAGTGTCCGGTATATATGTTAAGGCGTATGGCCGCATGGCAGTGAATATAGTCAGTCACCGGTATATGTTGACATTTACCGATCATCTTTGTGAATGTTATCAATTATTTCAAATATCTCACAATGCGGACGTTTACCGGTGTTTGTTGGCATGCGCAATAGTTATTTAGTGAATTTTGACATGTCTGACAACATAATATGTTTATTTGATATATATATTTGATTATATATTTGATAATCAAATATACATTAAATTCATAAATAATTATGGTTTGACAAATTATTTTTTTAATATATAGTTTTTATAGTAATTTTTTATGTATACTTTTATTTATTACAACAATCAAAAATGTTATCGATCCTACAAAATAATACAAAAATACCTTTTACATACATCGTGCTTCAAGTGTGAAATTTACCAAACACTGATTGTAAAATTTCAACAATCATTGGTGTATGAACGCGTTAAGACCATTTCGTCAACATTCACAACGATTTTTGGTGAATGTGAACATACACCGGTGACTGTCAACATTCGCCTACTGCGGTCATATACCTTAACATATATACCCAATCAGACATCGACGCTCCATTCTCATTGGTCGAATTTTTATCTATCCAGTCGAAGATGTAAAACGACACTATTCCTCCACTGTATTGGTTGCCTTCATGCCATTTTACATCATCACAATGTTGTTTTTGGTGGCCATGAGAAAGGCCGTTTTCGTCTGATCATGTGCTCCGTTACAAGCTGCTCATTATTATGATAATTATAGCAATTATTGCTCTTTGATTAACTTCAAATGCATGTTTTTCATTTTATTGTACAGGAAAAGGTACTATGATACGAGAACACAATTGACCGAAAATAAAATAAAAACATATTAATATACATACTCTGTACACATTGTACGGCGATCTGTATAGGCAATTTAGGTACATTTATGTGTAGGTAAATAACGTTTTTGCAACGTCAACTATTCGATTATTGTGAAATTAAAAGTGCTCTCTCAGCATCTTTATACGTGTAATACAATTAAAACAGTAAATTATGAATTAATTAAAAAATTGTATTTATATATTTAATAAAATCACAATCTTATAAGCATACATATCAAATATTACGATCAAATTTTAGAACAATAATTATTCTCAATAAGTGTTGAGTAAGAAATTATTCGAAAGGCAAAATATTTTGCTTATGAATGTACTAAAGTAATGAATGATTTTCGTTAAATAGAACTTGTTTTAATATTTAGTATTCGTTATGTATTTTAAATTAAAAATGTTCTCTGATATAAAATATTGCTCTTATTGTTATAATATAATAATGTAATTTATGTACGTAGACTTGAGAACACGGGAAAAAATAATTAGATATATTTATTTTTAAAATGTTTGAACTAAGTAAAATTAATAGTAAGAAAAAAAATTGAAAATTGAATGTAATACACGGACGGGTCCGAAGCGTATATAAAAGTTTCTTTCGTGAACATTTAGAAAATCAATTTTAAGTCGTGAACGTTTTACAGTTTTTGGATTGTGTAGGACGCACGGTATCGTTTTCGCATTAAACGGCGAAGGAAATAACGCATTTAATTGTTTTGAAAACCGGTCAAAAATATTATTTACCGTAAACGGTTCGTTGTAAAACGTTCACAGTTGTACTACGATCGATACCCGATGAACTCGGTCAGTGGCTGAGAGTTTAACTCGACAAAAACCGATAGCTTTTACAACCGACATCCGTGCACTGTGCTTTAATAATAAAAAAAAAAAAAAAAAATCATCCGTTGTAGGGTTAATTTGGAACCGTTATTGATATCGAACAATAACACCAATAGCTCGTGCGCGGTGAATTCGACCGGCCGGAGCACTACAAAAGCAGGCGGTAGTCTAATAATAATATTTCGTGTTCGTAGCACGTTTTCGGTTTTAAACGCGTGTACGTTTTCGGCGTTCGGTACGAACGTACCGTATTCCGCGTTCGAAACACGTCGACAACAATAAAGATCGTAAATTAAATTATTATGTAAATCGTACGCACACGTACACGTGCGTGTATGGCATAGCCGTAACAATGACGATGGTCCGACGGCGAGTGCTGGCAGAGTAACGTCTAGCCGCGAAACAACAACAATAATAATAATAATAATAATATAACTTTTATTATTGTTATCCGCCGTTCCTTGTTTGACGTGTTGCGTCCGCCATCACGTCGGGCCTAGTGTTCAACCCTCTCGCACGACGTACGTACACCGTACATTTGTCGGTATACATCCGAATATGTGTGCACGTACAACGTACGTTTCGCACCACGCGTACGGGGACCGCATTGTTGTTGCGCTCGTCGTGTACCACCTCAGCGGTCGGATATTCGCATTGTGCATCGCGACGCGGGTCAACGGTGTACACGCGAATCACGGTTCACGTGCCGTCACGGCTGAACCGGGTTTTCGGTTCGTAATACGATGAAATCATAATATTATTATTATTGCTATTACACGGTGTACGTTGCAAGATGTACGTGCGAGAGCGTGTTTTAATCGAAACACGATATTCTCGCCAATCCCCTTTGCGTACCGGAGATCGATGAACGACCGGGAACCGTTCTCCTGAAGGTTCGCGAGACCGAGTGGTGTTCGATGAGCCGCGTGAAAATTGCAAGTTTCGTACACTACCGGTAAACGGTAACGGTTTTACGTAACGCGTAAAAATCGATGTTCGCGCGATTGATCCGCGATCGTGTTCGACGGACCGGTCGCGCGTTGCCTACACGACGTGTGATCCTGCCCACGGTTTCGGTACGGCTACCGAACTGCTTACCGATGCGCATACAACACGTAGGCACCCGGCACTCGTAATACGAGTTTCGGAGGTCAAGTATTTCGGACTTTTACGTTTTGCGACGAGTTACGGTCTCTCCGGTCACACGGTTTCCGCGTCAAACAAATAAGAATCACTTAAAAAAAAAAAAACCGAGGCTGAAAAAATGAATCCGTTTATTCAACTCGTCACTACGTTATGTTGATCTAGACCAATACAATAAGCTCGGTGTAAATGTTTAAGTGTCGATACGCGTAACGAAACTGTCGAATAAATTAACTGATTAGTCGCTGCTTATCGTGGAAGAAAATTGAACTCGTTTAATTGTTAGTTACTCGTAAACAAATATTATAACTCACTAAATAACTCAGTCGAAGAATGACTCAACTTTTAAACTCGTCAATGCCCAGACTTATAAAAAATCAACCCCAAACGATGGTTCGCACGTCATACGCGTGAGAAAATTGAAAAGCCACATGTACATAAAAAGTTTATTCGACGTACGAAATACAAATATAATTTTACATATAAAATATTTGAATAATTTTTTTTTGTGGAAATAATAGTTCATAATTTGTATATATTGAAATATTAGTATAATAATAAAAAAATGATAATAAATATAAAATAGAAAGATCATCTAGCTAATCAATGAGGCGTCGAGAAAAAAAACAATAAAAAATTTACATATTTTCGTAGTCAAACGGTTATGTTTGTGACCGAGACTGAATGCATTAGTATGTGTAATTTATTATTTAAACCGGAGAAGGTAAAACATAAATACATAACAGTATATTGTATTTGAAAAAAAAAGCAGAAACATTTCAAATTATTGGTAAAAACGATAAATAATAATACGCACGAAATATATTTACAGAGACCCGCGTTCATACAAAGGAATAAATTACTTCAGCCGAAAGCTCATACAAATTGAATTTGGTTTTTCGCAAAAGTATACCGTAATACATGGTATATTGTGCTGTTTCATTAATAAAATACGGGTACCTATAAACATTATTTTATCGATTTTATCAACCTAAGTTTATTTTTTTTCGATATCCAATCATCGTCATAAATATGACAACATATTACAAGGTCAATGAAACATATTTTCGATTTACTCATTTTAAGTAAATGATAAAGCATATTTTGATATTTTATGTTAAAAACAGCGTTTATTGCCATTTTAAATGTAAATAGTACTACATAATATAATTATTTTAAAACATTTTTCAATTAATGATATTATTTTTATGGCAATATAAAGTAATAAAATATTCGAACGTCTACAAAATTGCACCACATGTGAGCGTATAGGAGAAAATAAAACGATCGAAAATTCTACGGTGAAAAAATGAAGTTAATTCATATTCATTTACCAAAAAAAAACTTAGTGGATTTTAAAGAAATCACACTTAACGGTGCGACGAATATGCGTTCGCATTGTAATGTAGGAAAGCATATTATTATTATATTATCAAAGTGCTCGGAAAGACTATATTATTTAACGTTAATAATACGGTAACGCATATGCTATTTAATAATATATAAATGTATTTGTGTATTTAGAACGATACGTACACTTATGTACACAAAAGTTGAAATCGTATTTTTATCGAATATAATTTACATTTGTCGTACAGGATATTATTTTTTTTTTTTTTTTTTTGCATTAAATCGTACGACACATGTGACGTTTGCCCGCGTTGTATCCAATAATATTAAATATTAATAACGAAAACACTGTCGCTCGTAACTCGTATGTATAAATGTATGTGTACGGGTGAATGGGTGTTAGGGTGTGGGGGGAGTTATAACAGCGAGCAAACAGGCATCTGTGAACATGGTGCTTTCTCCTATTCCATTTGCATAGTTCCGCAAAAATAAAACACAGTGGGAATTTATATTTTTTTTTTCTTTCTTCTGCTCTTTTCGTCGGTCGGTCATGAGCTGACGAAGTTGCCGGGTAGTATATAAAAGACGGAATCCGAGGGATGGGGTCGGGAGGTTGGAGAAGGCGCCCTTTAAGAACATAACCAAGCGCATACATAATATATAATAAAAATAATAATAATAATAATTGTATAACTTTTCTTTGGGTTTTTCGCCGTTCGAGCTGATCCGCCCGCCATGCCACCGTCGCCCGACGCGGTTAGGTTTTATTTGTTTTGGATCTTTCTATGTCACCAAAAGTGAACGCACACGCGCACTTGACCGAGTTGTAGTTTTGTGTGCGTGCGTTCTGCCGTCGACCCGGGATTAAAATTTACACGATGACGACCACACGGTATTCGAGACACGCCGAGATAGGGGAAAAAGGGAAAAAAACGCAGCTGTCACTAACGACTCTCTCTCTCTCTCTCTCTCACTCACTCACTCACTCTCTCGCCGGGTTTCGGAAGAATAAACAAAATTATATATTATTTTCGGTCTCCTCCTTCCCCTACCTTCCTTCTGATTTCCACTTCCGGTCGGTCGGCTTAATTACTTCTTTTATCATCTTAATCGTTAAATTTTTGGGGTCTGGACCCGGTTGACGGATTGGTACGCGTGCGTGCGGTCGAATTTCGGAAATACGCTATACATTCCGTTCTAAATTGAAATACTCACGAGAAAACGTTTAAATAAATAAAATAAACAGGATCTACTTCGTAAAAAGGTTTAAAAAAATTAGTTTTCACCATGTTAGTTAGTACAATTTTAACATATTATACGATGTACATCTATGTAAAAATATTGAAAGTTCATTTTCATAGCCTATTATACACTTTTTTTATTCGACAAAAAATGTTCCGATCAAGCGGGGAATTTGCATAGGAATTATGTCGATGCTATGCCTGGTAATAAAACTGGAACTATATAAAATATTGTACGGATTTTCTAAATTTTATCCGATGGTGAATTGAGATAAAATAAAATAAAATTCTGACTTCAATCAGAATCAGAAAAATGCTACGATTAACATAAGATCCATCCCGATAAGGATAAAATGTCCTCGCGATACTGCAGCCCGCATTTATAGTACATGGTTATTATAATTTAAAGGTAAGACGTTAAGCAACGTGGCGGGACCATTATCGCGCTAAAAATTACGTGGTTAACACGTCGTTTTGACGTCGGAGATGAGGAGAAAGATAGGAACGAAGAGTTTTTTTATGATCGGATATTACCAACGTATTTTCACCGACACGATACGTAAGCGTCCGAAGATATGTACACTATACACTGCGGTTATCGTAGCCACCGCAGATCCTGATTAACCAGATGATCGCACGTGATGTACATTGTACTCGGTAAATATCACGTCGTGGGAAGGCAATTTAATTGCGAGCGGTCGGATTATGTATACGATCGGGAGAGAGGAGGATTCTCTCTTTTTTTTTTCTCCCATATCGATTTTCGAAGCGGTGAGTGAACCTTTATTCCGCCCCCGAACATATACTGACCACATCAGACTCCCACCACGAGCACTGTTTTTACAACGAACGGTCAGGAAAAAAAGGCACTATACGTAATATGTAATATGTAATTAGTCGCGTCCGAGGGCCTATTATTATTATTATTATTACAGCAGTTATCGCGACGGGGCGTTTTTCGATATCCTCATCGGTAAAATACAACGTATCTATTAGCAGCTGCAGCAGCTTTGCGCGTGAGGTGCGTTAAGTCGAAAAATTAAAACACCGTCGTGGTGAAAGTATAAAATCAGCCAGACATACATTTTTTTTTTTTTCTGTAAGGCTTTCCCCCATAATCCATCGTTGTAGTAGCGTATCCAGGATTTATTTTTTTCAGAAGACAGGTGTTAATTGGTTACACATCACATTACAAAAAAAAAAAAAAAACCATAATAACTGTAAACTAAGTATAAGAATTAATATTTTGAAAGCTATTTTAAAATTAAAAAAATAATCTCCCCAGAGCAAACACAATTCCCTATCTTTTAAATTCATAATTATAATGATAAAACCAATAAATTTCACGCTTTACTTAGAATTAAGGAAAAAATACATTAAACAATAGATTAATTAATTTAATTAAAATTATATTCCTAACCCTGTGTTTCCCAGCTTTTTTCGTCCGAGCTTTTAAAAATAAAAATGAATTCATCGCAGCAGCTGTTAATTAATTAAATCAAATATGACACGGGATAAAATGGTTGCTTGACTTTTAATTGTTTAAATATGCAAATATTTTTCTTCGTCTGACAAAGTGATCTAAAAGTAAATGAGTGCAATAATATTGATTCCACGGCTCTCCCGTTAAGTTTGATAACCGTATGCGTTTCGTATTATTCTAGATTAAGATATTTTACCATTTGAGATTTCCCAAAATTCCGAGGTGAAAGTAGGCTTCGGACCCAACAATGCTCCCCCAAATATACGTCACAGGGGCTTTGTTGTACTTTTGGTCGTTCTATTACAGTTCGTGCATTACAACGCTTACGAACCGTGTCGTACTTACATTGTGCGCGGCTGGTAGTATAATCGTCAGTGAAACAGAACTCGCGAGGAGTAGTGCTACATCACTAGGTATAGATCGCATCTTCCGGCTTTTTTTCTGGTTACAACAACTAAATATTTTATTTTATTGTTTCCCGGTGCGGGATCAACGTTAGTTCGGAATTTAATACTGAAAAACACTTCACCGTATGGGTATTAATAAATTGATAACTCGTAACCGTAATTCAGCTACAGTCATTTGACGTCTTTCAAAACCATCATCGAATGACAGGTAAATTTATTAATTTAATTGTTTCCGACGTATCCGAATTCAATTGAGTTCCGTCGAAAACGTTGGCGGATTTCGAAGCCAAGACTTCAAAATAAATAAATCACACTTAGAGTCGTCCGTAGCATTGCGTACATAATATGTGTATAAACGCGATGTACGTTCGTCTAACTGAGAATAAGTGTATTATTTACATAAAACGTCTTACCGTCCAATTAGTGTTCGTTATATTTATTTATTTATTTATCCTTCCCCGACCGCGAGCGCACACAAACATTCGGCTTGTGCACCGGATCTATTACGTAATCCTACGTTCATACGGCGTACCTAAAACCCGGTTTGGGGAATATCGCTTTGTTCGAGCAGCGTTTTATCGGAACGAAACGTAAAATGTCGATATACTTACATACGACGTGCATCCAGGAGGATACGATTTTGGTGTGAAATGATGGCGCGTCCGCTGATACCTCGCATCGGTATTTTCCAGACAAATGTTTCTGGACGTCTCTGAGCACCACTTGGTTCGGTCCCGATTGGCCAATCTGATTAAACACACATAAACACAAAACGAATCAAACTTAATTCACAGGTAACAAATTGTAAAGTTTTTCGTTGTAGTTTTATTTAAAAAAAAAAAAAAGCTATTTTACATATATATATATAACTGCGTGAAGATATCATCAAGTACTTGTTTTAAACACTAAGTTACTGTTGTTACGAACATTTTAAATTACTTGAGCGGTCATTTATTTTATTCAAGGAAATGCAATATTAAAAAAGCAATGTATGCTAATTTAATCAAAACTTTTAAGGAAAATTCTCGGGCGTCCATTTGTATTTAAAGCGAGAACAATACATCGGTAGAGGAAAAAGTTTATTGAGATAAAGATAGAAAAAAATATATAAATACCCTCAAACAATATTAAATGTTCGTTAAAAAGCTCCACTTAACCATTTTGTAATCGGACAAAACTACTTAATGTTAAAAAAAAAGGAAAAGATTATACTATTTAATTAAATATGCGAATTAAATTGAATTTTTAAACATAAGGTTATGTTTCCATGTCTAATTTCAATGTAATAATATTCCCTTAGGCACTTAAGTATCAAAACAATTATAGTGTCAGCGTATTATGCACATAGTCAAGGTAAAATTCAAAAAATTTAAAAGCTATTATAAAACTATGAAGATAATTTATTAAAAACAGCCAAAGTAAAATAATTATAAGTTATTTTTAATTAATTTATGAAAGTATTTTAATATTATTTGCAGCTAACTGAAACTTTTTATAACAAATAAAACATTTCGAACGCATAACTGTGCACTTGAATTTCTATTGCAATATTAATATAGTAAAACAAATAAAAAAATATGAAAAATGTACCCTGGACTTATTAATTTTGAAAAACGGGCGTGTTCAGAAAAACAATACCGCTAAAAAATTTATATTATTACGCTTGCTAATTACACTTTAATTTTTTTGGGAAAAAATTAAATTACATTTTGCGACATGATTTTACTAATTATAATTTTACGAATAATATATATATATATATATATCGAATCATGACTTATGTGTATGAATTATGATTACAACGGAAAGACAAAAATTTGTTGCGTATACATGAATAAAAATATTTGCACGTGTGTATTGAGACTATGTCATAATGCACTCGAAATCAAACGTTTTTCATCTAACGTCTTGTTCTATAGGGTAATAATTTTGCGTAGTGGCGCCAAACAAATTTTCGAATGATCCGGTCAACAGCCACTCATTTCACAACATACAACCCGTCCCACCCCATAAACGCGCTAGAAGGGGTTGAGAGTTTGTCCACTCCTAAAAAATGTTTAATCTATTTTGACCATTTATGATAGCAATTATGTGCTTAAACGTCTTGAATAGTAATTATTAAACGCCAGTATTATATAATGCATAGTTGATTGGGTCTTTTCGCTAATTACTCGTGTACAAATTCACCACAGCACTACCCTTCGCCCTAAGAATATGGTCGGGTCATGACCAAACGCGAAACCCCCCTTAGTTCGGCGCCGCTAATTACGAGGGTTTGAGACGGAGTACGTTATGCCGTTTTTCGGCCATGCAGAGAAATCGCTCGTCTAACCTCGTTCGATTGTCACGCGTTAACGTTCTAGACAAATACACAAAACCAGCAGCGTTCAGAGTCGACGGTGGCTTGTGCCCAGTGGCGGGCTACAGTAAATTGACCATGTGTATCCAAATTTCTAAAATCTGCGGACGCCCACCCACTATCAAAAGTAATTTTTCTAATATGCAAGAACATTTTTAAAAAGTTCTCTACATGTTATACACACAGCCATTCGAACACACAGCAAGCACCTACCCACCTATCAACCAAAATAATGTGTAGGTATCCATCGATATGCTTGAGGTATAGGACAGCCGCCACGTAAGTTAAACGTAAATTACGCCATAAGTTATTACGAGGAGAACAAATTCACCCTTGCAAACCGTGTTTCCGGCCAACACGTTACAGACGCATTTGTTGCATCGCACGCCAAATGGCAATGTACAGCATCATTGATTATTATAAACACTTTGAACCTCAGCCAGACTCAGGCCGTGGTCCATTGTTCTAACGATAATTATTTTTCGTCCATATGAGTACTTGTTATTATAAACAAAATCATTGATCTTTCAGCTGATAAAGAATTAAATAAAACGACGGTTTGAAGTGCAAGCGTCTCGCGTTCCATTATAATTATCTCGAACCGTATAGTTTTGCGAATAGATTTATTTTTGGTTAAACATAGGTAAGTGTTTTCAAGTTCCGAAACTTGAAATAATGTAAAATTATAGTTATAATCAGCTGGTCAACTGCAGCAGTCCCTTGTGTTAATAAGAGTTCGGATTTTGTAGGCATTTATTTCTTCTTTGTTTTGGTCAACAAACGTAACTTCATGTTGGATATAAATTAAATTTATACTGTATAAAAAAATCAGTATAACTTTACATTTTTTTCTTGTTTACATTTCAGTATTTTTACTTTTTTTTGTAACAATTTTAAAAAATACTTTTACGAATTTGAATTATGTGAAAGGTCAATATTTATATTCATATTATACAATGTGATAAATAAAAAAAAAGTTTTTTTTTTGAATAATTGAGTAAGATCAATAAAAAATAATTAATTCTAATTTATTTTTATGCATTTAATTTATTATAATAATTTACAGTTTTAAAATTACTATATTGCTGTTTTAATTTTAACCGATGTGTAGGTATGTATAAAATTATCAAATCGAAACAGAACTATTTCGTTAATTTAAAATTTTTTAGATTCGTAGAAATATTTTTTTTTCCGATGTCGTTCTTATTAAAATCATTATTGATCATCACTTTATTTACTTCTATTATACATTATATTACTAATATTATTATAATAAATGATTAAACTTACGTCGACATTTATGCCAGGCCACGGGAACACTCTGGTGTGCGGCAGTTCCTTCGGCACGTACCTGAAGAATTCCTGCCGGCCTTTGTACCATTTGACCGTGTACAACGGATCAGATTCCAGGTCGTAGGTACACGTCATTTTGGCCGAATCGCCAGAGGCGACAGCCACGGGCACCGTTATGCTCATATTCGATAAGCTGTTGCATTCTAAAAGGAGACAAACAAAACATATCGAACACATTCAATTATAACAGTCTTAAGATCGCTTACAAGATTACAGCTAATACGTGTCAGCACTGCATTGAAATCGTAATATAATCCTATAACAGTAGCGGATCCGCGACAACGTTTTGCTCCTGATGCTCACCAGGGGAATAATTTTTAATTGTTCAAAGAGAGATTTATCGTTTAATATTAAAATGTTATTCTCGGCTACGGTTTTCACTGCGCTGTAATGCGTTGGATTAAACAACTATGTTTATTTATGTACTGGATTATTTCAGCCGATAAAATCATAAAATACGATTGCATAAAAAATTACGCCCTAACATATGTAACAATAATGCAGCTGTAGATACTTCTAAATAATCGCGTTGTAGTTAACTACGCTTCACGCTTTTCATTACACGATGCACTTATTTATTGAACACTCAAAATGAACGTAATATTATTTCATATTTTTACCTAATTCAATTAGTTGACCATTTCGTGTGTAACACAGTACCCAGTAACGTCGCAGTGACGACGATTAACATGATACACTTATATCGTTATTAATGGAGAAGTATATGGTCGAATTACACTTTTGTTGAAAATAGGTAATTGCACTAGAGTTCCAAAAATGGTATTTCAACAAAAAGATCATGCATTTAAAGAGGTTAAACGTTTAGAAGACACTAATTTCCCCTTCTACTTATAGGCTTAAGACTGACAATGATTTTAATCCTTAGCAAGGTTAAAAATGATTTTTTTTCTTTCATAATGTTATTTTACTTAATTATGTATTTATGTAACATTTTAAAATCTTAAAATTAATTGACTAAATAATATAAAATATAATTTATTATATAATTTATTGAATCGTCAAATATTATAACTATCATTATTATAATTTTTTTTTAACTCATTTCAATAATTTTTTTGTAAAAATTACAAACTGAATTCAAAAACTCTACCTTGGTAATACGCTTTTGAGCATACAAGTTTTTATTTATTTATTTATTTATTTTTTTTTTTTTTTTTTTGGTACCGTGTTTCTGAAGGTTTTATGTCAGTATTCTGAGTTAATATATAAGTATCTATTTGTAATTGTACCGTAGCGTTCATAAACATAAGATTCGTAAAATTGTTATCGTTTTTATAAGGGTGGTTTTTTTAAAAAAATATATAGTGGAAACATAACATTTTTCAGCTGTAACCAACAACACGGTTATAACTATTTTTATGTACGTATACGTGAACATACATAATGAAAATCCGCCTAAAGTTTTAATCATTTTTTGAACGATTGCAGGTAGACTATCTTTTTTTCAACACAAGTGAAATTCAGCCATTTTATTTTTTTGGATATTAAGTACAATTCGTCCATTCCAATGAAGAAAATTGTGCCAAATTTGTGAAATGAGATTTCGATATTCCTATAATTATTTTGTGAATTAAAAAATCTTCTATATACTGTATATAAATAAATATATTAAAAAACGCTATCGTAAATGACCAAACAAATCAGTAGAAATCGGTCGGCTTTTGGTCTGTGAACAATACGTTTTTATTTGCATTTTGTCGTTTCACATTAGTTATGATTGGAAATTAATTTTAATTATTTATTTGATTATACGCCAAATGTATGATGATAAAATCTCTAGAAATAATTTAAAATATGATTGAAAAAAGTAAAATTACTTAATTAAATAAAAAATATAAAAATTAAAAATTATCGTTAAAATATAATTATAATGTATTATAACCGAAAACTCAAACATAAAACGTACGATGTACCCATTATACGTTTTGGAGTTATAACGAACAACGGACAATTTTTCATGTACAATATAACTGGCATAATACATCAAGCTCACAAATGTCATTTGTTTGTTACACCATTTCTCCGCTCCTGTGACTTTATCTTCAAATAGTACAATAAAAAAATATATTCGCTTTCAGACAAAAGTAAAAACATAGTCTAACACATCGTTTACAAACTTAATTTTCATCTTAAAGAGACAAAACACAGATTAATTAATTACCAACCGTCAGATTGTTTTCAGATAATGTACGAGTAGATAAACTAGATAAATTACCAAATTATCGTGAAAATAAAAGGTATTATTATGTTATGTTTCATTATTTTATATCATTTTATGAATGTTTAAAAATCGAAAGTCGACTGTTTCGCGTAGTATTGTGGGAAATCACTAAATAGTTGCATGACTTTTAACTTTAAAAAATATTTCGAAACTCGAAAACAAATTTAATATTTTTGTATTCTCTGGTTGTCTGACGAACATTTTTGGGAATGTTTAATATTAAAAGTTTAACGTGATGTGTATAAGAAATACGTATAATGGAAAATACAATTTCCCAACCCGAGTTAGGTAGGTTGCGCATAGTCGAGATCAAAATAATTATTATTTAAATTACACCGCCATCATCGTCGTAACGCATAGCCACCACCGCCACAAATAGGTCAGTCCAACCAAAACCATGTTAATACTATGTGTCGATAACAATTAATTTTTAATAAGTCAAAGAGGTAGATTTAATATCGTATGAACACGAGATAACGCGCAAGATTTCGTTCTCGAATCATCAAATTAATCAGTTAGAAAAAATAAATAAATAAACACACCACCCCGTGTATTATAATATGTAATTGTAATGTACCATCATGTAGTGTGTTCATTTTTTTCTCGCAGACGAAAGCTAATTAACACTGTTTTTGACAACAACAAAAAAGTTACGTTAATTACTATCTTATTTGTAATTAGTGTAAATAGCTTAATAAAAAAAAAAAAAGATCTTTGACATTAAAACCAATACGCCGTGACTTTACTTAACATCTGGCACAAGCCATATGGTGCAATCGAAACAGTAGTGTATACATTAGGCACTATAACATACTAAAACCATACTGTTAAAGACGTTTGAATTTGAATTTATAAAGTTTACAATTCAAAGCGATGTCTTTTGAAATCATCGTTCTTAGAAACGTCCGTTTCATCGTCATTTTGAATTGTGTTTTATGTGCAAAAAAAAAAATGTATAGGTACCCTCTGCGTTTATAGTCACGACGTGCACATCGAAACACGTCATATTTTAATTAGTTTTCCTACTGTATCGCTGTTTTACGAATATATATATACAAGTGCATGTATCATTTATTTTATGTTTGTATTTTATGTTTCATCTAAACATACTTTTCACGTTTGGAAAACTACATAGTTTTTTTTTTTTTTTATTATTATTATTCCAAAAATGCGCGTTGTTATAGCTGCTATAATAATAAACGAGAACGCTTCAAAAAATACACAACGTGACGTTACGTACGATTTCAATACGTGCACACGACCGTATAATCAACAATTACACGAAAAGTTAAAAGGGTAATGCGTACAGTAAGTGACAATCGAAGACTTTTTACACATGACTTGATAATATATTATTTTACCTATGTTAATGGCGGTTAGTCAGGAACAAAATTGAATTTAAAATTATATTTTTAAATACGAAAACTGAATAAATTAATTGTTATCGAGTTGTAATAATTATGGCGTGGAAGATTTTCATGTTTTGGTCAGATGACAAATTACAATTACCTAGCCGGGAAAACGACTTATTAATATTTATAATTTAAATTTATCGCGAGAAAGAAACATTAAGGAATAAATGATTTACTTCAATGGCGTGTTTTATACACGAGGTATAATATTGTAATATAGGTATACCGCGGTCCTATCTAAAATTAGAACATGCTTTATTATTTTAGGACATAATGTTTGGCAACAAAGTTTAAATGTTATATCCGCTCTTAAGAAGGCAATATATTATAAAAAGTTCACATTACTAGCTAAGGTCGTTTCGCGGATGTTTTTTTAAAAACGCTTTTGTAAAATGAAACATTATCATTGTGAACATTATATTATTTACGTTTGTTGTATCAAATATTTCTTGCGTGCTGTATTTTTTTTTATAAAGTGAAAATAAATTCATAAACGACTAACATAAAAATACACAAATGTAAACAATGTTGCAATTAGTACACACCTTAATTTTAAATGCAATATAATAATAGTATTTTTAAAGAAATTTAATTAATAAAAATATCAAAATCACAATGTTTAGTGTTCAGCAAATCAAAATAAGCATTTCAAAAGGTTTATCAAGTGCTTGAAATGTAAATCGTTTACTTACAATATTATCACTGCTAACAAAAAAGATAAACTACAGTAAATTACAAAAATACTGTACCACCTCTTATGTAACAATACTTTTTTAAAAATAATAATATAAGTTTTTTTATTACAGATTATTCAACAATTAATTTATTTTTGATGGAAGTGTTGCACGTGAGCATTTCGTTACAGTTTACTTAACACAAAAAAAAATATAAGCTTTTTATTTCTAAACTTTGTAAATACATTCATCTTGTCAGAATTATATTTAGATATTATACGTGTATTATACGTATATTGCGTTAAAAAAAAAAAAAAAAAACATTTTTATGTATATACCTATAACCTATATACTAACGGAAACTTTTCGATTAATTAATAATACCGGGATGATAATTAATAATATTTTAAATATTGTTCACGTAATAATCGTATTCGTATTAACAACAGTGAAATAATTTTTAATGCATACAAAAGTTGTTCCATAAATTATTATTTAACAATTATTATTGTTTTCAACACACGCAAATTGCTATTATTCAAACATAACATATTGTGTTTCTACCTACATAATAAATCACACATTTATGTAATAAGAATTTAAAGAGAATAACGATTTCCATTGTGTCATTAATTATTATTTTTTAACCGAATGTAATCAACTATATAAATTTGAAAAAAACAAAATAATAATCACTGAGGTTTTTGGATGGAAAAAAAAAATCAATGTTTCTATGAACGTTAATAAAAATGCGATAAAATACGTTTTTTCAAACACAATCACGTATGTTTCACAATAGTAATTAGTTACGGAAA